TACAGAGACCGATGTAAACGGCATGAGAGTCTAGGTGACAAGCAAGACGGTGTAGAAGCGGATGAAGAGTTATTGACTGTCAGCAGAGCGATGGTGAGAAGTCGATGAACTTAAATATAAGTTTACAGCAGACGATGTAAACAGATGAAGCTTATAGCTTACAGGCAGACGATGGAAACCGGACTGAGCTTATACTTACAACAGGAGACGCCATGTAAACGGAATGAAGCCCTTAAATCTACTTACAGCCGCACGATGGTAACCCAGATGAAGGCTTATACTTAAAGCATACGAATGTAAACGATGAAGCTTATACTTACAGCCAGACGATGTAAACGGATGAAGCGATACTTAATCAGACGATGTAACGGATGAAGCTTATACTTACAGCAAGAAATGTAAGCACAGATGAAGCTTATACTTACCAGGCAGACGCATGTAAACCGAATGAAGCTTATATTACAGAGACATGTAAACGGATAAAGCTTATACTTGGACGGCAGACGATGCAAACGACTGAAGCTGTATAGCTTACACAGACGAATGTAAACGGATGAAGCTTATACTTACAGCAGGAGCGATGGTAAACGGATGAATCATATACTTACAGGACGACGATGTAAACGGATGAAGGGCTTATACCTCGTAGACGATGTAAACCGATGAAGCATATACTTACAGGGCAGACGATGTAAACGCGATGAAGCTTATACTTACACGCAGACGATGTAAACCGGTGAAATCTTATACTTACAGGCAGATGAATGCAAAACCCGATGAAGTTTCTACTGTACAGCAACGATTGCAAACGATGAAGCATATACTTACCAGCAGACGATGTAAAGCGGATCAAGCTATACTTACAGCGACATGTAAACGGATGAATCTTGATACCTTCAGGGCAGACGATGTAAACCGATGAAGCTTTTACTACAGTGATGAATGTAAACCGAGGATGAAGGCTTTACTTACATGTAGATGATGTAACCCGATAAAGTTTATACTTACATCATTCGACGTTGGATGCCGGCGGGTGTAGGAGAACCTAAACGTTTCTCTATTCGTGTATCTCCGGCCCCTTTCTCTCTCTCTCTCTTCTCTCTCTCTCTCTCGTCTCTCTCTCTCTGCTCTTCTCTCTCTCTTCTCTCTGCTCTCTCCTCTTCTTTCTTCGTCTCTGTCTGTCTGTCTTGTCTGTCGTCTGTCTGTCTCTCTCTCTCTCTCTCTCTCTCTCTCATCGCTCTCTCTGTCCTGCCCTGTCTCTCCTCTGCTCTATCTCTCTCTCTTCTCTCTTTCTCTCTCTGCATTTCTCTTCTGTCTCTCTCCTCTCTCTCTCTCTCTCATCTCTCATCGTCTGCTGCTCTCTTCTTGTAATGCTGCGCGCTCTCTCTTTCTCTCTTCCCCTCTCTCTTTCTCTCTTCCACTCTCTGCTCTCTCGCTCTCGTCTCATCTGTGCTCTCTCTCTACTCGCTCGCTCGCCTCTCGCTCTTTCTCTCTTGCCCTCGCCTCCGCTCTCTCTTCTCCCTCTCTCCTCTCTCGTCTTCCTCTCGGCTATCTGCTCTCCTCTCTCCCCTCTTTCTCTCTTTCTCTCTCTCCTTTCCGCTTCTCTCTCTGCTCCCTCTCTTCTCCATCTCTCTCTCTGCTCTCTCTCTCCTGCCTCTCTTGGTCTATTTCGCTCTATCCGGTGGTCTCTCTCTCTCCTTCGCTTTCTCGGCTTCGCGTCGCGTCGCTCTCCTCTCTCTCCCGCTTTCTCTTCTCTCTTCACGCGCTGCTCTTTCTGCTCTCTCTCGCTTCTCTCTCTCTGCTCTCTCTGCTCTCTCGTCCTGTCTCTTCTCGTTTCCTCTCTCTCCTTCTCTCTCTGTCTCTCTCTCCCTCTTCTCTTTCTTTCTTGTGCTACTTTTTCTATCTCTCTGTCTCTCTCTTTCTCTTATCTCTTCTCTCCTCTCTCTCTCTCTTTCTCCGTCTATCTCTATTCCTCTCTCTCTCTCTCCTCCCTCTCTCTCTCCTCTCTCTCTATCTCTCTCTTTCTATCTGGCTGTCTGCTCTCTTTCTATCTCCTCCTCTCTCTGTCCTCCTCTCTCTCTCTCTCTCTCTCTCTCTCTCGGCTCTCTGTCTCTTTCGCCTATCGTCGCTCTCTTCTTTCTCTCTCTACTCTCTCTCTCTTTCGCTTTCTCGCTCGCTCCTCTCTCTCTCTCTTTCTCTTTTCTTTCTTGCACTCTTTCTCTCTCTCTCTCCCTCTCTCTCGTGTGTCTCTCTCTTCTTTCTTTTTTTTCTTTCTTCGTTTCTTTTTCTATCTCTCTGCCTCTCTCTTTGGCTCTTTTCGTCTCTCCTGCTCGCCTCTCTCTCTATCTCTCTCTCTATGCTCTCTCTCTCTCGTCTTCTGCTTCTGTTTCTTCTTCGTCTCTATGTTCTTCTCGTTGCTCTCTGTCTCTTGTGTTCTCTTCTCTTTTCTATCTCTCTCTTCTCTCTTCCTCTCTCTTCTCTCTCGTCTCTCTCTCTCTCTCTTCTTTTTCTGCCGTATCATATCTCCTCTCTTTTTCTTTGCTCTCTTCTCTCTATCTCTACTCTCCTCTACTCTCCCATCGACTCTCGCTCTCTTTCCTCTCTCTCTCGCTCTCCCCTCTCCCTCCTCTCAGCTCTCTCTCTTCTCTCTTCTCTCTCTCTCTCTCTCTCCTCCTCTCCTCGCCTCTCTCTCTCTCTCTCGCGCTCTCTCTTTCTCTCTCTTGCTCTCTCTCGCGCTCTCTCTCTCTCATTCTCTCTCCTTTACTGACCCGTTACTGACCTGTTACAAACATGTTCCTGACCTATCACCGACCTATCATCATCGCCCACACCGTTGCTGACATATTGCTTCGCGCGTATAATCTGTCGCTGGCGTGTTACCCGGATCTCCCGCTAGGTGACATTACGGAAATTGCTACACGAACGCAGGCATATTGAATGTCGCCGACGCAATAGCGATTAGCCAGCTCAGCAACCTCGGCGCTAATATCAAGTTTATATTAAAACTACTTGCTGTGGCTGTAATCACCTTCTGATATACACACGTGTCAAGAAGAAGCCTGGATGACTCTACGGAGCGCCGCTCAACAATATGCTGCCGCAAGTGGTTTTAATTTGAGGGTTATTGGATGCCATTTTAAGCCAAACTATAGGTGAAGACATGCTATAAGAGTTAGCAATAAACTATTCATATTATATATATATATATATATATATATATATATNTATTTTATATATATTGCGTATTATTTGTATATTATGCTTGTATATATATTATCAGGAGCGTATAATGACAAATACGTTATTATACGCTCCTGATAATATGATTATAGGAAAACTTACAAGCTGTGAGTGTATATGAACAGCTATTAGCTACTGGGTTAGTTACCTGAGCTCCAGCCTTGAGCAAAGCTGCGACGACCTCTGTGTGACCTCCCCAAGCTGCTGACCGCAGCGGTGTCCAGCCTTCCTGGTCGCAGTGGTCAATGTTGACACTGGCCTCTGAAAACAGACAAACTCACTTTATATATAGTATATATTATTATATATATATTATTATATATAAAAGAGAGGACGGGACAGAGGGAGAGCGAGAGCGAGAGAGAGGGGAGCTAGCGAGATTCAGAGAGGGAGAGAGAGGGAGAAGAGAGAGGGGAAAGATAGAGAGAGAAAGAGAGAGAGAGAGGGGGGGCCCGAGGGGGGGGGGGGAGGCAAAAACGCGGTGAAACAGATGAGCGGAGAAAAACGTTTTATCAGAAGCCCGTAAATTATTTATTTACGGCCCATTAATTTAGTCAGGGGTGAATAAAAACAAATAATAATAATAATAATAAAGCGTTGACGTAGGTGAGGATTTTTCACGATACAATACGATACGATACAATACGATACAATGCGATACAATGCGATACGGTCATAGCAACATTACATGCGGTGTTTTAAATAGTTTTTGTTACCATTGTTCTTTAAAATTGCCTGAAAATATGTTTGACAATGCACAAAGTTATAATCCGTATAGCTTTCTTTGCGCGCGAGGGAAAACTCGTATTAATAACTAGAGTGTATTATGTGAAAGAATGAAGAGAACGAGTTGTTACATGGCCGCTATACACGGCCGTGGTGTTTGGTGACCTTGCACGCGTCCGTCACAATGCAACCGTAGCGAATTGTTACTGCAAAGTTATTCACGTATATTCAGCAAAGTTTTCTCTGTTTGTTTTTCTCTCTCTGCTCTGTCTGCTCTCTGCTCTCTGCTCTCTCTCTCGTCTCTCTCTCTCTCTTATCTCTCTCTCTCGTCTTCTCTTTCTCTCTCGCTCTCTCCATGTCCTCGTGCGCTCTCTCTCTCTCTCGTCTCTCTCTCGTCTCTCTCTCTATCTTCTCTCTCTCTTCCCATTCTTCGTCTCATCCTTTTCTCTTTTTTTCGCACTCTCTCTCTCTCGTCTCTCTCTTCTCTCTCTCTCTCTCTCTTCTCTCTGTCTCTCTCTAGTCTATATATACTTCAGTTATTCGCACCGTGAATTGATATATGCGTGCGTATATCTCCCGGACAATACGTCGCGCGCGCGCGCGAGTCAATATTAAGGTTTAAAATTCCACCTACAGCCGAATGTTTAGCAGTCGCCGTGCTTCTCCACCAACAATGCCGCAGACGAAATCATTAAAGATTTACGTACGCTGGAGTCGGGTCGGCGTGCGTGCGTGCCTGCGTGCGTGCGTGCGTGCGTGCCGCCGCTGCTGACAACAACAGCAGCAGCAGCAACAGCAGCAGCAACAGCAGCAGCAGCAGCAGGGGGAGTAAAGCAACCATCTAGCCGTGTATATATGTGTGTATAGCAGCCGTGTAGCCGTGTTATGTTATTTTATATACCCAGCACGCCATACGATGGGCGACGGGGAGAACTCTCCCATTCTCTCTCTCTCTCTCTCTCTCTCTCTCTCTCTCTCTCTCTTTTTGTGGGCGAATTTCTATCCGCCGGGGGGGGGAACGCTCTCTATATACA